TCGGACACGGCTCTGTTGAACAAATTCGTATGTCGTGTTTCATCGTTGTGTGTGTGTGTGTTTTTGTTTTTGTTCCGTTACCGTTTAGGTTAAGCGTCAGCCATTAATCGTCGTCGGTGCATTCAGAAGTATACAATTGTGTATTGTACGATAGTGATATAATGTACGTGCAACAATGACGGGACCGGCAGACTTGTGAGCCACCCGAACTCGCACGACGCTCGCGGAAACTGAGCGGATGCAATCGACCTGATAACATAATATTATTATCATTATCGACCGGAAGAAGCGAACGCGACATGATGGACGACGAGATCCAAGAGACGGTCGAGTCGATCCTGGGCAAGGGCGCGGTGGTGGTGGACTGCGAGAAAAAGTCGAGCGTCAAGGAGGAGGAGGTGCTGCTGGTCAACGGGGTCCCGGTGTCGTTGGACGGTGACGACGGGGCGGCCATCAAGCGGGCGCTGCTGCGGGGCGACGTGCCCGACTGCGACTTGCTCAACCAGATACTGGTCCGGGCGGGCATACTGCGGGCGCCCGTCCACCTGGAGACGAACCTCAGCGTCAAGTCGACGGTGGTCACGCGGGAGGAGGTGACCGTGGCCAGGGCCGGCCGGGTGGTAGACGAGCGGTCGCGCGAGACCAAAGAGGACAATTACTACACGAGCGCCACGTCCGAGGTGTGGGAACCGGTAACCGTGGTCAACGGGCCGCCGGCCGCGGCGAACAAGCGGCGGGCCGCCACTGAGGCGACGGCGAATTCAGCGGCCCCACCGACGCCACCGCCACCGGCCGCCAAGTATAAGGAGACGGTGACCACGAGCAGCAAGCGCACCGAAGACGGCGTGGACTGCGGCGAGGGACGGCCGCCCGACGATTTCTCGCACACGGCCCACGTGACGGACGGCGACAGTCTGGCCAACGGCATACGCGTCATCAAGTTGAACGGCATACACGACCCTAGAGGCGATTACGGAATGCCCGTCATGGCGACTGCCGGTTCTTCGGACGACGTAAGTGCATTTCATCGTCATAATATATATTTTTTTTTGTTATTAGGGCTAAGGTTTCAATTACTAAGGCCATTAATCTGTGGTACTGGGGGTGGGAGGTTACTGTAGATTTGTTTACACGTGTGTGTTTGTTTTTGTCAGAATTTTTGATTTGGACACCAGTAGGTATCTGACATGCCCGGCCGGGTGATGGCGGCCTCTCTCTCTAGACAGGTGTCTCCCCGGAGATAAGTGCCGCCCGTGACCGAGATTCGAACTGCCGACGGTGCGCATTGCAACCGACTCCTTAGTCCGCTCGGTCACTCCGTCCCCCGTCATAATATTATACTATAATAATATTTAGTTTCATATGAGTAACGCTTTGTAAAATATTTTATATTGGTACCTATATAATAAGATATTATTATAAATATTTATAGCTCCTAAGCCAAAGGTCCAATTTTTCAGGAAAAATGATCTCGTGAAAGATATGCGCACGGTAGTGTGTGTGTTCTGTGTAACACTGTAGTAACTATAGTAATTAGTTCAATATATTGATATAGATTTTTGTTTGGCATCCCTTTCTCCACCAATAATACAATTAAATAGAAGTATAAATATACGCTGTACTATTCTATAATGTAATATGGTCTTAAGAATAATATTATACACTTTAGAGTTTAGGGTGCTGTGAGTCAAAAAATGTTGGGAACCTCTGGTATTATATAAACAGTATATTATATTAGAAGTACTTTTTCGTCCATTATACAGTCGTACAAGTACTTATGTTAAACTATATTTATATACAATATAACATGTGTACGTCTTAACTATCATAACATCCAAAAGTTGTGGAATCGAAAATATATACAAATATATAGGTAGGCCCAAACGGCTATTAATATGGAATTGCATAATATTATAGCGTATTGTATTGTATCGTGTTTATAAAGTTCGTAAAATGTTTACGGAGTCAACGGTATCAGGAACTAGCTAGGTCTCGTCACAAAATTAAATTATAGTTTACTTATATTATTATATGTATGTGCTTCATTTAAGCATCAAACTTGGCACCGGCACACCGTCTTATATATACTGTATGGATACAACGGATGGGGGTTTAATCGCGTGTCTTTAAAATATTCCATACGGCCTCGAAAGGTAAGTTCGTTGCGAAGAGATAATATTATGCGTGTGGGAGTTGTTTTCTTTCAACGATTTTATTCAATTAAAATGCGTCCAAAAACAACAAAGTCGGAATTAAAATATTATAATAGTCCGTCTGTACGGATTTGAATCTTAATTTTAATATTATCGTTTATTTGCACTCTTTTACTTATTATAGTTATCTATATATGTGTAGTGTAAATGTGCCGCTGTTATACTAGGTACCTATACTACTCTGTTTGTTTTGGTTAAACAATGATTTTTTTTTTTTGATTTTTTTTTTGTCATCGCCGCCCTTTGAGCGCAGTAAAAATGTTTCAATCTTCAACGTCGAGGGTGGTTTCTGATAGAAAACTGTGTCTAGTAAATTGCCTAAATACTGGGAGTATTTTTAAATAAAATGAAAAAAAAAACAAGACAAATTAGGGGAAAACAAGAATTTTTACGCTGTACCAGTTTTTGACATAATCGATTTTTTTTTTTTTTAGTTGAGTTGTAATTCAAAAAAATAAATAGCAGTTGAGACTTGAATCTTTAACCAAATGTTTATTTTAAAATTTTCTAGACAATATAATATAACTATTTTCAAAATATTTGTGATATTTTTGTTTTGTAATATTTACAGATGGGTATTTTATTTTATTTTTTTTTATATAATATTTGTTAAAAAAGCATAACAAAATAACACAAGGTTTCTCATTAGTTGTTCTTACAGCAATTAAAAATTATCGGAAGTAGGTACATTGCCAAATTTTTTTTACAAGTATTTAATGTTAAAATGTTGATGAAAATAGTGCTACGATAATAATAGCAACGGCCACTTCTTAATTTCTTTAGTCGTTTCATATTTTCCTTATTTTGTGTTTAATTGTATTTTTAATACTTTCTCATAATGCGTTTTTGTTTTTGCTCCTTTCCCCCATTTGTTAAGTATTTCTAAATACGCCATTGGTAGGTATATCCTAAATGTAGGGATCCGCTGGGAATTGTTTTTCATCGTATACATTGAATTAAAATTTAACACATTCATTACTGTTATACTCAATGACAATGTTCACTCGATACATACTATATATACAGCAGAGTTCTTCCTCGGTTTTTTTAGTGTTATTATGTTTATTTTTAAACAACCATCTAAATTCTTAGGAAATCATTGTTTTTAGTACTCTGAAGTTTGATATTATTTTTAAAAATGTTGGTATTTAATTATTCAATACTGAATCAATCAATTATTTTTATAAGCCTTTAAGCTTTCAAAATGTTGGTGACCGTATTGATGGAGCAAAAGTACCATTTGCTACTGATCTACCACTCTATTCCCTCTTATCTAAACATTAATTGCTTATATAGGTTATTGGTTACATTTTCAGTATTTGTAAAGCAAAATTATCCGAGCATTATAAAATTAAAACAAAGCTATGGCATTAAAATATCGAAAATACCTAACATAAAAAATACTGCATATTTTTATTCAAATACCTACATATTTCAAAAGATATTATTTTATGAAAATATTATTTTTAATAAATTAATACAATATTGATGGGTAAACTTTGCTTCTGAAACATAAACATATATATATATATATATATATATTTAATTTCGTTCAAATATGTCTTTCTAGTTTCTATAAACGACTAACGAGTGCGCAGGGCGTGAAAATAACTATATATTATGATAATACATGTAATAAATTTCTCATCTTATTTAGTGGAGAATATTGTACATAATATAGATAAACCTTATTTAATGTTAATATCTTTTTAGATCTAATTGTTTTAGTATGATAGGATATGAATTAGGTACGTTTTAACATAAAGGTTCACCACAATTTGTACGTTTCAATATAAAATTCCGACATACAAAACCACTAATACCTATAATAAATTACACAATCCATAATTTTAGCTCTATTATAAGTACAATAATAATATTATGACTATCACTTCTAAAAACGTCTTGCTATACCTACCCAAGCAAGTATGCTGTGTGCTGCAAGTATGCTCTCAAACGCCCTCAAAAATCGAAGGCTATATACGTACGGCTCGTATATAATTTAGACACACATGTATATATATGTATGCGTGTACAGATATTATCTGATTGCGTTTATCTATGCTCACGAAGTCTTTAGATAGCGTGTATATTATATAGTCTTCGAGTATGTAATTATTTTTACAAATGGAGGCGGTTCTGCTCGTTTACATCGCGGTGTTTGTTTTTTTATTCGTGTACTTAAAGCCCGGCGATGAGGAGGTAGTTAAGTACTACAGTCATCGGGAATATCGCAATAAAATTACAAAGGCGGGTAGGAACTTGCAAATTTTATGTGTAACCTGCCTACGCGATATTATTGTACACAATACTATGTATACCTTACCTACTATACAATGTGTACGTAATTTCTTAGCGTTATATTCAGTTTAATATTATAATGTTTTCGGCTATATAATAATTAATATTATGTATGTTCTAATCATAGACCTATTAACTAAATGGACTGCGCCTTGAGCACAAAAAAATCAGACAACATCTGATAAGCAAAAACCAGTATCTTGGAAGAAAACAATTAATATTTATTTGATTATTCCAAGACTTTTTATAATATTGATAAGCATTATGGATAAAAAACATAGACCTATTAACTGATATGTAAAAAAGTGAATGATAAAAAAGTTAAAAAAAATTAAAAAATTGTTTTTTTACTTTGTCAAGCGTCTACTGCTCACGTTTTTTTTAAAAAGTAAAATAAACTACATTTTGAATTGTAACTAGTACTGTGTTGTTTTAATTTACCATTTTTGAACTGTTTTTTGTTGTTGTTATACATACTTCATCAAAATGGTTATGATGTGTTCAATACCACTTTGTAAAAGTGTTGCATCAAAAAAACACAATGTTAAACTACACAAGTAAATATACAATATATTATATATTAAATTGTATTTTTAATAATGATTTTTCTATTAATTATAGGTTTCCAGCATCAGAAGAACTTCGGCGTATATGGATAGACCGTATTATGGCATATTATCCTAATTTTAAAATTAGCAAATTCAGTTTAGTGTGTAGTAAACACTTTGCTGAAATTGATTTTTTTAAAACCACTAGATCTACATCCTTTTCACTATGTAAAGATGCAGTACCCTCATTATTTGACGTTGATGAATGTGTATATGTTTTCAATGATGGTAAGTTATTATTTAATTTTTTATTTTATTATTAATTAATGGGTAAGGACCACTAAGAAATTATAACAATAGTACAGAAGTAAATAATAAATTACAATGCAAAACTTACAAACAGATAATAGCATTGGAGACACTGAGATTTGATAAAATTAAAATTGGTTAACAGCAGAATTTAATGCTATACTTATAAATGTATTTTATTAAATATTTCTAACTAATATAATTACCCTAGGTGAACTTGATGGTGATTCTGATATTACTAGCCTATCTATTGTTGATGTTATGGAAACTTCCATAGGTGTAACTACACCTATTACTGTTGATGGTAAGGAAGTTACACCATCAAAGATGAATGATAGTTTTGATATTGTTGAAGTTACACCATCAAAGATGAATGTTAGTTTCGATATTGTTGAAGTTACACCAATATATTCATTTGGTAAAGATGCAGTATCCCCGTTGCTTGATGGTGATTCAGATATTACTAGACCATCTATTGTCGATGTTATGGAAACTTCCATAGGTGTAACTACACCAACAAAGATGAGTAATAACTCCAATATTTCTGAACCATCCAACGCTGATGTCATGGAAACTTCCATTTTGGATATTCAAGTACCAGTAACTCCAAAAAGAATGACAAATACCTCCAATAAGCCTATGTAATTAATATTATTATTTATTTAGTTATAGCATATTTTATTTGTTTAGTTATTGTTATTATTTAAACTAATACTATTATTAATGTGTCTACAGGGAAAGAAAATGGGTATTTGGTGATTTTAAAGCTGATGACTTGAATACTCCCAGAAAACGAAAACGATATTGGGATATATCACAACAAACTGTGTCTAAATACAAATGTAAAACAAAATTGTTGCAGAATAAGAATACGTGGTTGACCAAGAAAGTTAAAAATTTATGTCAATTGATCGATCATCTCAAAGAAGAGAACAAAATTTCAGAAAGCTGTTTTTCTCATCTTAAGGTATGTATCAAAAATGAAATAAATAAGAAATCAAATAAATTAACAGGGTTAAATTCAAATTCTGATTAATAATCCTTAAAAATAGTTTTACTAAAAACTCTATCTTATATTGTAATATATAGTATTTCATAAATATTGACAAGACTGGGCATTAACGAGTTAATAAGTTAATTTTAAGTTAACATAACTTACTAGTTTGCTGTTTTAATTATCTTAACTTTTAATTAACTCATTTGCCACTACGTTAACTTAAAAATATCAACTCTTTTTATTTATTTTTATTTTCCCAATTAAGTTAATTTTGAATTTTTATATTATCCAGAAAAATATTTAGTTAATATAAGTGATATAAGTTATATATAAAAAATAATAATGAACTTAACTGAGTTAAAATATATGAAAAATAACCCTGTATATAATTATCCCCTCCTTATTTTTTTAAAAAGTAGAAACATAGTGGCTATTTTTTATTGACTATTGTATTAAGAAATTAAATATTTTTGACACGTTTCATATTTGTGGTATTATCTACTATATTATACTATATATTGTATTACGACTAGAAACCATGTACAAATGTGTTTTTGAATAACGTAAAATATTAATGTATAAAAATATATAAATGTGAATATTTAAAATACAATAAAGAAAAATTAACAAATAAACCAAGTGTTTTTATTTATTATTTATTGCCCTACAGAAAATATGATATATCCTCTAGTATGTTAAATTTTTTTACAATTTTAGGAGAGTCTTCCAACTGCACAAAGAGAAATGTTATTAAAACAATTAAATCGTCAAACAGAAAAAAAAATTTCACCAGAACTCAGGGCTTTTGCTTTGACCCTAAATTTTTATTCAGCTGCAGCTTACAAGTATGTGAGACAAGTTTTTAACAAATGCCTTCCACATCCCTCAACACTACGGAAATGGTATGCTGTAGTTGATGGTGCACCTGGTTTTACCAAAGAATCAATCAATGCTATACAAATCAAAGTAGCAGAAATAAAATTGAAGGACAAAACCTTAGTGTGTGGTATGATGATTGATGAAATTAGTATTAAAGAGGGCACACATTTTAATGGTACAAGAAACCAAGGGTATATAAGCTATGGAACTGGCCTTAATGCCGATACAGATACACTTCCATTAGCTAAAGAGGCGCTTGTAATTATGCTTGTTGCTCTAAATTCCAATTGGAAAATTCCAATTGGCTATTTTCTGCTAAATGGGTTATCTGGTTCAGAAAAAGCCAATTTAATTAATACAGCTCTAACCATAGTTTATGATACTGGTGTACTGGTGAAGACGTTGACATTTGATGGAGCTGCGTCAAATATTTCTATGGCTACTACATTGGGGGCTAAACTTTATCCTCCAGATATGAAAACGTTTTTTTCGCACCCAATTACAAACGAAAAAATTTTTATTTTTTTGGATCCATGCCATATGCTTAAGCTTTGCAGAAACACATTTGGTGATTGGAAAACTTTATATGACAAAGATGGACAAGAAATAAAATGGGAACTACTAAAACAGATAGTAGATTTACAAGAAAGCGCTCAATTACACTTAGCCACCAAAATTAGATCAAGACATATAAACTACTACAAAGAAAAAATGAAGGTGAAGCTTGCAGCTCAAACTTTAAGTGAAAGTGTGGCCAAGGCTCTGACTTATTGTACAGAACAGAAGATCGCTGGTTTTGAAAACTCTGATGCTACTTCTCAATTTTGTCACAATATAAATAATATTTTTGATGTTTTAAACACAAGGAATTTTTTAGGTAAAACCCAATTCAAAAGACCTATTTATTTAAATGATGAAACATTTCTTAAGTCTTTTATTTCTTCTTCAATTGAGTATCTATCAAACATACAGACCAAAACATTCAATAAACAGTCAAAGACACATGAGTTTATACCAATCATAAATTCTGGAAGGAGAACTGGTTTCAATGGTCTTATAATTTGCCTAACAAGTCTTGGTGATTTAATAGATGATGTTCTGAAGACCAATCAATTGGAATTTTTATTAACATATAAAATTTCCCAAGACCATTTGGAAATGTTTTTTTCAGCAATAAGATCACGTGGCGGATTCTGTGACAACCCTACAGCTAGTCAATTTGAAGCCGCATATAAACGCTTATTAATACACAGTGAAATAGTTACATCTTCCCAGGCAAATTGTATATCTCAAGACACAACCGAAATACTGTCAACCACTAGTGCTTCCAAGAAAAAAAGTTCTTCATCAAATTCTTTGGACCTTATTTGTTCAGCTGGGACGGATGAAGATGAAATGTCGATGTTTCTGGCCTTGCAAAGGTCTCCACATTCATCATATTTAATGGACGTAACTCAGTACATAAGCGGAGCTGTAACAAAAAAATTAATAAAAATAATTAATTGTCCAGAATGTGTGAAGGTTTTGTCTGAAACAAATTCTACTCCGATGCCTTTTATAGACATAAAAACAAGAGGAAAACTTATTAAACCCACTAATGACGTGACTGAGCTTTGTCGAATTGCAGAAAATGTATTCCGAACTCAACCATCCATATATAAAACGATTGGTGCAACGAATATAAGAGAGACATTTATAATGAAATCATTTTCGAAGATCAATATCAATAAATACTTTTTAAATTTATCTGAACATATATATAATCAAGATCCAATAAATAATCATTTAATACAAATTATAAAAGAAATTTTCAAAACTTACTTCAATATAAGAATTCATCATTTCAACCAATCAAGTAGTCAGCCTAGAGACAGAATAAGGTCACATTTTACAAAACTTGTACATTTCAGACATCAATAATATATATGTTTACTTACTTATAATAATTTAAGTCATTAATTAATTGCTTTAAATGTTTTCTTAATAAAATATGTTTTCCTTTTGTTAAAAGTTAGTGATTCTGGTTTAATAGCTATGTTTCATCAATTCTCCTTTGTACTATGTTATAGTTCAGAGGTTTTTTTACAAATAATATCAAGATTCAAGATTTTCAAGAAGAAAAATTTGACACGTATCGACAGAGAATAGTTATATACCGATGCAATACGGTTGGGTACGTTTCGCTTGTATATTGTACGTGTAACTTCTCAAAAATTTACCCGATACGTATCAATAATTTCCTTGAAATCTTACTGGTTTATGCAACAGTGTGTATATTACCTCGTTTATAGCTTACAAAATAAGTTCATCGCCAACAGCATGTGGTGTTCGGGTGTTCCACATTTGGCAATCAGTAAAGTATTGTACCATTTCAACGTTGTTGAAAACATATGAATACCAATGTCAGCTGTTTCAAAAATGTCTTTTCAAGTGTGTGTAAATAAAACAAAACTTTATTTTTTTTATTACCTGGCATGAACTCTCGTATTAAATGTTCTTGCAATCTTCACGGTTTCATAGCTTCATTTGTAAAAACTTTTTGGTAAATGAGGCACACCGGTAATGTAATATTTGTAATTGAATAAAAGTATAAAACCGTACTTCAAACATTCAATATTATACTGCTTACACTATTCGATCGGCGTCCACATTCCGTGTGTAAAATAATTACTTTATTCAAAATTCAGTTAACATAAATAATTGTAGATCACTCCAAAGTCCAAAATATTAATATTATAATAAATGCTATCGCGATAACGACCGGATTCAACAGACGACGAACGATAATTGAATAATTCTAAAAATACAAAATTGAAAATACGCAGAACAAAAACCATATTTATTGTAACAAATACATTGGCGGGAAACATGATAGTGAATGGAAGAAACAATAAATATTGATTTTATCTTCCCAAATACTTGTTTTTGCTTATCAGATGTTGACTTATTTTTTCGCCGTGTAATTGTTATGGAAGGCGCAGTCCATTTAGTTAATAGGTCTATGGTTCTAATATATAAAACACGTATACGCATTTATACTGTATATCTATATAAAGTCGGGCTGTTGTTTAACGGAAATTATTGTTTTATCCACTTTCTACGTAGGTGCGTATTATTTTATGAACGCATTGTAATATTATTATTATATGTTAATATTATGGACGCGCATTAAACATGTATACATTATATATAGTATACACGTAGTATGCGAGGATTTTCTCTTAAATTTTAGCCCCCACTAATATATATATATATACATACGGGTTATGGGTGTATATATATAGCAAGCTAGGAGTGTGTGTAATGCCGTAATGCGTTTGTTTTCGTGCAGATGCATCTACTACGAACACGCACACACTCACGCGATAATATCATATCCGGTCGCTCTATTATGTATACGCGTACTTCCCCCTGTCCGCATGGTTAACTTTGTTAAAGTTATCTTATAGAAAAAATAAATGCATAGTTTTTACAATAAACGATAGTATATATTTTGTTTTAAGTCTCGATTTTTATGATAGATGTATCTACTTTAAATCGCCGAATTGTGTTTGCGCCCCGCGGTTATATTATACATTTAATATACATTATAGTTATCATATAACTAAAACCATTAACCAACGACTATAATATTTATGCTGCATTGCTGCTGAGTGCTGATAAGTTAGTTTCAAATACGTTAATAGATTCTGAATGGCGCAGTTTTTTTACAATGATGTATTTTTTTTCACACTGTGCATCATCTTTTGGAACAGTAAAAAATAAAAATGCTCAAGTCCTCAACTTTTACAATAGTTATTATGGTAGTAAATCGGATGTAATTGGTACTTTGGAACTTTTTCATAAAAACTGAGGAAAATGGGAAAAAATATCTTGAAAATGTTTTGGACATTTTTTTTATAGACATTTTCATTTTTTCATTTTGACAAAATTAGATAGGAACTTATTTAAACGAAAAATTAGGATTTTATTTATTTTGTTGTAATTCAACGAATATTATTTGTTGACACCTTTTGCTATTCCTTATATCATTATTATATTGTATAAACACTTAATTAAGTGTTCAAAATATTTAGGTTAATTTTAAGGTATTTATACAACGAACTTATTTAAACCATTTTATGATTGATGTCAATATTGATTTATTATAGTTACTTATTACAGCTATTATTATTATACAAAATAATATTATAGGTAATAATATTACTATATAATATATGTGATTTAGTTTGACAAAAATTAGTTCAACCTACCGTATTACTAATAGAAAAATAAATTACTAAAAGCTATATAAATATTATAGTCATATATCCTTAGAAGTATATAGTCTGACAGGCCGTCTCTGCTCAGAATCATTTTTCGTACCTATGGAATGACTTGTCGTTGGTTTCAAATTTAACATATCCATTACAGTGAACTATATTCAGTGACAAAATACACTTTATGGGCGTTTTCTATACATTATATATAGTGACTTCCCTTTCCCGGTTTTTATTATTATTTTGAGTTTGAATATAAACTACGATCAAAGATATCATATGATATTATTTGTACATTATGATGATCATACAAAAGGTCATAGTTTATTTCACTGATATAGGTAGGAACACCTATTGGTTGCAGTTTAATATTTGGTAATGTCATATAATATTACATCGGCGTCGATAGGTATTCCGGAATCTATTTTGAAACCGTCATTTATACGGACGAGACTTGGTAGCAGTAGCTGGTAACAACTGCAGTACCTATGTGGCTATGTCTAGGTCTAATAATATTTGTGATCATATCGGCGACTAGGAGGCTGATGTGGCTATACGCAGTAGCGGTGGTGCAAACAACTGGTCAAGGTTATCCCAAAGAAAAAGCGTAGGAACTACCTAGAAGTCGAACACAGCAGTCGATCAGAGCTCACAGTTATTACGCGTGGGTCACGTGCTGGACACAAAGCGGGTGGGCGAAACCGTAACGTCCGCGGCGCCTATCTTAGACGAACCCCCGGACGAGCACGTGCGATGACCGCGCAGAGAGTCCTGTTGGAGACGGCGCCGGTCGAAGGTTAGTGGTTACGTGTAGATGACTTGAGTGGGAGCGAAACGAATTCTGAACGTGGCCGCAACGTCACAGGAGTCGGACCCAGTGACACCAGAACCCACGGAGACGAAGAGAAGACGTCCTGCATATCCGTGGGCATCCGAGCTATGCATCCGTCGATCAATAATCTACAGAATTTCAGTCGAACAGACGCTGTTTCCTGTCAGATCTCCGGAAAAGATTCCAGGCCCCACTTCCATTTCACTCAGATTTGGGACCGCACATTCGGAAATAGAAAAAAAATTGGTATATTGTTTCGAAAATTATATTATTCCATATTTTCAGAGCATTAAAAATGTTACGTTTCACAGAGAAATTACGAAGGAATTTCTCAGAATGAACTAATATTCTAATAAATAAGTTACAAACTGTCTTGGTCAAGCATATAATGTAATAGTGTATATACATGGTTGGACTGAAAATAATGGATAGAGTATAATACTTATACATTCAGAAAACCTTTTAGAGATTTTTTTATTCCATGAAATAAGTGCAGTTTTCTATAGTCTATTACTTTGCTTCTTGGAGATATCAAATATAGTATCGTCCATACCAGCTGGTATGGCTTTATGTGTATTTCCAAGACTTCGCTATTTTCATATTTTTCTATAGCAAAAGATGAACAAGTTTTCTGAAGTTCGTTAATTTTGAATCAATATTAATATGAATAGGTATGTCGTATGTAGTAAAATAAAAGTAGGTATTTTTAGGACGCTTATAAATATAAAATATGTATAATGTATATTATATGTTACGCTCCTCAATTATTTTTGCACTGGGAATCGAAATTATTTTTGGCTCTCGAAGCCACAGAGGAGAACGAGAACTATATAGGTGTGACTGTGTGAGGTGTCATATACTCATATCGCAGAGTTTTGTTAAATTTATTTTTTATTTATTGGTTGTCATTATTGTTATAATAATATAGCTTAGTTTTAGTGTATACACAAAACATATTTTTTATCATTTAATCATTTAATTCGTATCTTGTGTAAATTTAATCGAGTTTGACGGTTTTTGTGAGTTCTGAAATCGTTGAAACGCGTTATACGAAAAACCGGAGAACTATCCTTCTGTTGTATATTAGGTTTCGAGTGTACCTCTGGATGAGTTTTGAGTTCAAACTAAAATTGAATTAATTTTTTAAAACGTGTATGTATTTATAAATGTATCTTTATTTTTAAACTTTGCACAACACACTTATTTATATCGTGCGAGGTATAAACATGTATCTTATATAATATATAGGTACCTACTTGTATTGTATTTAAATTAAAATTTTGTTTATCGGCCAATATCAAATCTAACCATTCGAACCATCGAACCATATTATTATGACTTCATGGATAATACTATATAGAAAATAACCGTAATCAACTCGATATTCAATAAACTATAGATAATATCTAATTGGTCGTTTGAAAAAAAAATGAAAGGTGTTTTTTTAAATTTATTTTATTGAATATAGCCGTTTGCCCATGTTAACATAATATTTTTGAATTCATTTTATCTTATATTATATATTATAATACATGCTAAATGCTAATATATAAACAATATATGACATATTATGTACATATTATACATTTACAATAATCTCATACCATCTCAATAACATTTTTGTACTCACTTAAAATGTTATTACCTCAATAATAAATTACCATCTTAAATTCGATCATTCGATCTTAGCTGAATTATTTTGTTAAATATTGCATGTTAACGTATGTTACACTATAACCACTGAAATATAATTAAAATTAATGATTATTTAAGAGTGTGGATGTATTATGCTTCTTAAAAGAAATCTTTTTTAATTTACAAAACAAAATTCACAAATGTCAGTGCAATGCATCTTAACTATTTGAGTATTTAGGTAACCATCTGTTAAAGAGTTAATAATTACATTTTAATTAGTTAAGTAAATATATTTATGTACGTTACTAATATATTATCGATAAATAAGTTTTTGAAAATTACGGATATTTATAATAATATTATAACGGCGAATATATATTATATATTAGCGATATTATTATATTCGTTGTTACTTGTTATAATAATAAAAGGTACCTATACCTCTAGATTTACAGTTGTTTAAACATTACCTACCTAATTTATAATATTTGCTATAAAGACTTGATTATTTTATGTAACCATTTAATAATTCTCAAAGTTAAATCTCACCTTAAAACTTTTGATGGTATGCATTTAAAAAGTTTTTATATTACTGAAAGTAAAATAGAATTTATTAATTGAAATAGTTTATAAGCTGCAGTTAAGTTAATGCGGCATAATTTTAAAAGCTGTCAAATATTATATGAAACTGAATGATCTTAAGCATTTAATTCGTCTCATGTATTTTAATCCATTCTTTGACTTATCGATTGTCTGCAGTATTTTATTTGTACCTAACTTGATTTATTTTCTAGTTAAAATTTTTACAAACGTAAAGTATAACGCACTAATTTAAGTTTTCGTGTATGACTAAAATTAGTTATTATGAATTATAATGTTTAACCACATATTCCTGGTGATTTCCTGCTTAATTTTTCACTTTTATAATTTATGATGTTTAATTAGGTAACTTATTTGTTAAATTAAAATAGTCAATTCAATGAAAATTAAATTCACATCACTTTGTCGGTTTAGTTTTATTCAATGAAAAAAAGTGAAATCTAGAAAAACTGTATACAACTATAATTGCCAAGTGAATTGGTACTTAATATTTATCTTTGAGCCTTTGATAATTTAACATTATACAGTTGTTTTGTTTGCATTGAGCCCATAAATAACATTAATTTATTTCAGATATTGTATATTTTCTATTTGTTTTAAATAGAAAGGATAAAATATTAAATCTAATCTGTTTTGAGTCTTAATAATCAAATTTACGTAGGTATTGTTAAAGTATTCATAGTTTATTATAAAAGATCATCTTAAATAATCTCGTACCTATACATGCATTGATTTTCCCTATAAAATATCGATGCCCGTGTCTCTATAAACTTTAGTTCTATAACCGGTTCGTTAAAGTAATCGTAATAAATAAACTCATTAAAAAAAAAAAAAAACTGAACCCATAAAATATACGGTTGACGCACGTGTGATTTTATGAATTATAATTTTCAGAGGAAGTGATATCCAATTTAATATTTGATTACAACCTACGAAATTTGTCGAATCCAATAAGTGTTACGATATATATGAATGCGTATCTCATTAACATATTTGATTTATTATTTTTTTTTTCACGAGGGCGGCGTAAATGTTTTTACGGGTGAAACTTTAATAATAATTTACATATACAAAATACACACCCACAATATTACTCCATTACTGTGATATATAAATCACATACACTGTTCTTACTTGACACGTTGTATACATATCTAACTTTAAATTTGATGAAGGCGTTTTGACTTTTTTGACAGTTTGGAACGTGGAAAACTTTAACACGATGAAGTTTTAGATTGCTACGAAGTTTATAATCCACGTGCTTAATGTGTGAACACATTGATATGATCATTATAGGAACACACATCCTTTATCAACTGTTTCGATTTTCTGTTCATCATGTTTAAATCGTTTCTGTAACAATTTGGTATTTACTATAATCGATAGGTATTCAAAATGTTAAATTTATTTTCACGCATACCTATCAAATAATTATTTTTCTAAATTTCCAGTTATGCCTAAAACAGTTTTAATATATTATATATATTATTATTATCATTCAGTTTATAAATTTACAGTTCACGATTGAAAAAAAAAACACTTTATTTTATGGTTTAATTTACGAGTTAAATAAGTTCAAGTTGTTTTAATTTCCTCAATTATCATACTTCAATAAACTGTACACATAAATCCTTTGCCACAATGTACTTAACGCGACCTTAACACGAATGTTTGTTCTATTAAGCTATTACAACACAAGCGCCAAAAACTTATTCCGTTTAGATTTCGAAATGGATAATATTTTCCTTGTGTCTATAAAGTGTGCCGTAAATAAAAAATGATTTTTCCTTTTATATAAATAAGGCTTAGTGTTTTTCTTGAAAACAAAGGAGCAAACACAATTTATTTTGTAACAAATATTTATTTTCGTGTATCTTACGAATTTGTTTCGTTATATATGAAGTAAATGGAAAAAAAAGTCGGCATATTTACATAATATTAGTACCAGGCTGTATATGTTTTTGGATTCGGGACGTATCCATTTTTCGTTCAAAGATCGACTGGAGATAAAAAAAATTATAGATTTCCTGACGGTTTTCTATTATTTTAAATCGGGATTTTGGAAAAACATAACATCGTTGTAAAATATCGTCGTACGTGGGTTTTTCAAAAATGTTAATAATAATATCGTATCCTGCATTTCATGTCGTAAAGTGGATTGAGTTCAGTGGTCCCCGATTGCGATTGTTATTGTTTCGTATCCAAACCTAACGACCAGAGATTCTCGTAACAACAGCAATAATAATAATGGTATGATAAATCAAACAATAGCAAAAATGAAGATGATAATATTGTATACTAGATACCTCCTGTAAACGTTGACGTCGGAATTCGAAACATTTTAAACGCGTTTTTCGATTTGGCACGCCAGACAATGATTAACGGCCACGCACTATCATATTATAAACATTTTCAAAACAATTTATTTTTTCTAAAATAATACCAACAGTATAAACTGATACTAAATAATACATGTATATTTATATTTATCATTGTAGTGTACTTATCACTTATGACTTCTATGTGGAAAATGATCTACCCTCCAATGTAACTCT